CCCCCCCCCCGGCTGCTCCAACTATGGGAAAATATTTCTAGAAGTGTTTTGCCCCCAGCTCACTCATCTAGACAGCTGGTATTTTACTTGGGTAGGCTTCCTAAGCCAGGAAACTTCACCACATTTTTGGTAGCAGTCTCCTTGAAAAAAAAAAAAGAAGGAGAAAATATGAAGCAGTGTAAAGAGCTTGAGGACCAGCTTTTCTCATTTCAGGTTACAGTTTATAGGGAGGCTTTTTCCTATTATTTTCAACTGTGGTTAAAAGTGTGAGAGATTCCCAGCTGAGCGGCTGTAAGGGTGCGTGTGTGTGTTGTGCTGCGTGCAGGGTGGAGGGCAGTTTGTGTCCCTGGTCTGGGAGGTTTGGATGCGGTTTGAGGATTTGGAGTATTGTGGGTATTTTATATATATAGAAAGAGAGAAAATAGCGTGCATGCCCCAGCCCCGTTGTGCAGGATCAGTTCAGGGCTGCGGAGCGGGCTGCTGTGTGTATGTGGTGCGTGCTTTTAAAAAAATACTTGTTGATTAGAGCTCTTCTCCCCCCCCCCCCCCCCTTTCTTTGTGTGTCTGCCCGGTAGGCACCCGTTGTTCCCCCTGTTAGCTCTTGTCTTTGAGAAGTGCGAGCTGGCGACCTGCACTCCCCGGGAGCCTGGTGTGGCCGGCGGGGATGTCTGCTCCTCGGACTCCTTCAACGAGGACATCGCCGTGTTCGCCAAACAGGTCCAAGACATTTGTGAACACTCCTGCCCCCCGGCTCCTCGCACACGCCCCGCACGTCCAGAGATGGGGGGGCACCCCAACACCCTCCCCCCTTTGGACTCAAGTCAAGGGCCGGGCTGGGAAATGTGCTCTGGCACTGCTTCCCACTGGCCTTCTCAGGGAGTCCCTCCAAACTGGGCAGCCAGCCCTCGGCCTCCCCCTCCTGCCCGTAACCCTCGGCCTCCCTCTGGGGTGGAGGGGGACGCGAAGTGCGGCGGAGTTTGGAAACCCCCGAAATAAGCGCTCGGGCGGGAGAGGGGCAGCGCCGGGTGCCCGGGGCTCTTGCAGCTCGGGCAGGCGGCGCAGCAGCGTCTCGGCGTGACCTGTCCATGTTTCATCCTTTCCCTCCAAGTGATTCGGTCCCGGGGCTTTGAAAGGGAGCTGCAATTTACGCTGCTTTTCCTTCTCCTTGTAGGTCCGCGCTGAAAAGCCACTTTTTTCTTCAAACCCCGAGTTGGACAATTTGGTAAGGCCTTACCCTTTGCCCTCCCCCACCCCCAGCGCTGTAGTTTGTGATATTAATAACAAGCACCTCTCTCAGACTGAAGGCATCATTGTGAGCGAGTGGGGAGGCTGGGAGCCGGGCTCAGACCTGCAGGCTTGGGGATCGGGGAGGGGAGAAGGGGGGGGGACCAGTCCGATTGAAAACTGCTTCAAAGAGCCTTCACTTCTGAAGTGAGCCGGGGCAAACTCTGAAGTGCCAGTGCATTGCAAAACTGGGTTGAAAGCCACGGGAAGCTGAAGTGAAGGAAATAACTGCTTAAGAGGAGGGAACTGGAGAGTGCTACTGTAATTCTTTTGCTAATGGGGATGATTTCAATATTAAAAGTGCCTAAATCCGCTTGTAAAGAAGATGCCAAACTATTCACCTCCAGCCCCACCCCCCCCGTTTTCTTTCTTTCAGGGCGGTGGGGGTGAGTGTGTGCTTGCCTGCACTGCAGCCCCTCCGAAATGAGGGCCAGGGGTGGGGGGGGGCGAGCAGGCGGGAGGGGGCCTCCGGCTCGCAGTAAAACACTAATCACCGCTCCTAAAATAAATATGATAAAAATCAAGTGCTTAAGTTAAACTTGATCAAAACTGCTGAGGCGTGACCAATGAGCTCAAATCCCGGATAATGAGTGCGCGCCCTGACAATCCCCCTCGCGCTGCCCGTTTGGTCGCGCAGCGCTGCCCAGACCCCGGGGCCGCCGCCTCCCGAATAACTCCTCGCTCCAAACTTTCTTGCAGATGATCCAAGCAATACAAGTCCTACGGTTTCATCTTTTGGAGTTAGAAAAGGTAAGAGCCGCGGAGCCGGGGGCAGTGCTGCCTTCCTCCCTCCTGACCCACCCCCCTCCCTCCGGGACTGTTTCAACTCCTTGTAAACATTGCCAAAAATACAGGGGAAGCGCAGTGTGACTGTCTAACCTGCGCCATCAGAGCATCACAGCATGTGACACCAGACACGCTCAGCCCACCCCAGTGCAATTTTAACCAGGTCAGGATTTTTTTGGGGGGGGGGTTTAATATGCCTCTCGAACCCCTTTTATAGCCTGCCCTAAATATAGGCGATTTCCCTGAGTCAGAAATATTATTAAAAAAATAATAACCTAAATTCCTTTGCTTTAATCCAGATCTGATAGTCACATTAACCTCAGCCAAGCATGAAGTGCTCTGAGTAAGCAGGAGGTTGTGCTTCCTATGGGGGTAGCTATACCCTGGGATGAGTAGAGGTTCTTTGCAGGGAAGAAGCCAATTCATTCATTTCTCCAAGTCCTGGAAAATACATACAGCTCAAACAGGTCCCATCGCTGGTTCCTAGCTGTACCTGCCTGAGCAGTGTATGCTCCAGAGCATAGGTCCAGTTTCCAATGTTTTGATGTTATCATCAGATCGGATTTTCCTCTACAGACTAGACTGAGCCCACTATCTCTCTCCCTCTCTCTCCCTCTCTCACTAACTTGTTGCTGCGGCAAGTCTCTGGAGAATAATATGTGCGGCAACAATTTCTCTATTGTTTCCTTGCCTTCAACTATTGTGCCCCTTAATTAGAGTAACTCGTGGAATAGATCACAGTGTTTCTCTTGCTACCAAAAGAAAAAGAAAAGGAAAAAAAAGAGTTGCAATCCGATATTCTGCCTTGCTTTTTAATATGTTATTCTTATTTGCAGGTCCACGAGTTGTGCGACAACTTCTGCCATCGGTACATTAGTTGTTTGAAAGGAAAAATGCCAATAGATCTAGTTATTGACGAAAGGGATGGCAGCTCCAAGTCTGACCACGAAGAGCTCTCAGGATCTTCCACAAATTTAGCCGACCATGTAAGTCCTCTAGATGCCTTGATGGGTTTTTTTAACCTGCTTAGGGGTCTCTCCCCCACCTCCCCGACTCCCTTTTAAACCTGTTGGACGTCCTTTCCCCTCCCCCTATTTGCTGACGATTTTAAAGTTCTTCACTTACTTGGTCGGGGGGGGGTAGGTTTTTGTTTTGTTTCTTCCTATCTGTAGTATAGGGAGTTTCTCTGATTTACAAAGTTTCCTGACCTGGGCTACTTGAAACGCTAGCAAATTGTCTGTTTGATGTGGTGATCGGTGGTTTTTTCCTGCTTTGCCAACCCTGTAATCAGTGCAGCAATGTAAGAAACTAGAGGCGAGAAAGTTAGGGAGAAAGTTTGTGATTTCCCCCCTAAGTCCTTTATGCAGATGACAAGTGCTGAGCATTACTGGCAATTTTACTTTGCATTAAGAAAAGGGTTAGCACATTCAAGTTTCCTATGCTTTTGCTTTAGAACAACTTATTTGCAGAATATGGACTTATTGCCAAGTGCCTGAAGCATCTTTATAATAAAAGACAGTAACCTTGATGAACCAATTATTAACAATGTATTACAGAAAGCTGGAGAGAATTATGATTGAGCAACCATAGGTTAGCGGTTGATTTTAATGCTTTAGTAGTCGGTGAATTACTGTGATATGTGTAGGACCAAACGTTGGAGTGAATGTTAAGAAGACAGTCTTTTGTTTTTCTGGGGTTTTGCAGACTGCTCTGGAGCAGGGTCTTTTAAAATATGTATATGAGAAGAAACTTACAAATGTGAAGGAAAAGATTGCAACTGATAGCACAGAAAAGGGAACGAATTGCTATGGTTAAAAAGAGTGGGTGTGCACTATAGTTTATTTATAGGAACGCATCCCTGGGGAGAAAAGGGTTTACACAGGTTTAGATTCCATTGAACTCATAATCTAAATGATACAGTCTAATATTTTGGCCGCTGAAATATTAATTTAACACCCAGTGTGTAGTTAACTATGCTTTGCACAGGCGCTTAGCTTTATTTCCTTGTGTGTTCAGAGGGGTAGATTGAAATCCAGGGAGAAGCAGCTTTCTATGAGCATTTGCTCTTTGAAAATATATCTGGGCATTTAGTAATTACATTTGAGCTGAACTGGAACAGGTTATAAGTGATCAAATTATAATATATATATTTAAAAAAAAAATCGTCAACCTGGAGTGGCTAAGTTCTAGGACACTGATAGTGGTTTTTCTATTCAAGGCTTTAGATTTCATTTCTTCACTTGCATTTGGTAAACATTTCAGGGCAAGATTTTTGTGATATTATACATTTTGGATTTACCATTTTTAAGTGAAAACGTATGCATCAGTTACTGAAAGTTTCTCTTCTATCAGTTACCTCATCTGTAGATAATAAACTCTATGAGGCATGAGACTGATTTAAAAATATTTGTTTTATGGCATTTTCTAACCCTAAATTCATGTGTACCTGCATTACAGCATTACCAGTAAAGCTATTTAAATGAGTGACAACCTGAAAGATATACACTCATTGTATATAATCCTGAAAATATTAATAATAATAATAATTATACTTATAATAATTATAATACCCTGTACCTTTTTTCCAGCACAGTTTCTTTACAAGAGTGTGTTTCAAGCAGAAGTGTAGAAATGGAGCATGCTTATGTTTATATTGAGGAGATTAGATAAACTAGCCTGTTTAGGGTTCTGGCAGATGGCAAATGCTCAAGCCAATTTGCAGTGCTCCATTATAATATTTAAATTCACACACAATGATAGGACAAGGTTGGAGGGGGTTAGCATTTTGATAATTTGATAACTATTATCTTCACTAAAAAGAATCTTCTCTTGCCTTTGTAACTCAAAAAACAAACTCAAGTAAATATGACAACCCATTTATCTTGCACCCGTTAGGGTTTACCACTTCATTGGGTATTATAATTTAAAGCCTTTTATTTCCTGGAGATTTGAGCTATAACATTTTTACTTTAGCCCCCTGCTATTTGTTTTGAAAGGAAGCAATAATTTGTGCAACCAGAACACCAACTGGGAAATGAAGAGTTGTATCACATAGTTACATTTTATTCATGCGTTTTGGGAAATGTGTCTCCTTATTGGATTTTTTTTATGTTAGCTTGTTTTACCAACAAAACTTTTGCACTTTTCAGTGGCTTTGTCCAATCTATATATATATATGTGTGTGTATGTGTGTGTACACATGTTTGTGCATGCTTAAGTGTGTGTGCATGTGTGCTTGTGCATTTATATTCACACTGTATATAAGGAGCAATTAACTTTTATTTATAAAGAAGGAAAACCTTTTCTAATTGTTAGTATACAGATGCAAGGAAAAAATTGAACTATCATTTGTGAGCATCTACCTGAGAAATGGAATAGTTCAAGCATGCAAATTTGTCCAATTTGACTCTCCAGGTTTATTTTTTCATTTTCTTTGATATGCATATTTAATACATAGCCCCAGGCTAGATCTCATTTGGTGAAAGTTGGTGCAGGGGTGATGATGAGCCACTTCAGAAGGACAGAGACAGCATGTTGTTTCCTCTTTTTTATCTGTTGGCCCACTATTCTGATCCATGGATCTTCTTCATGGTAGTATTTGCACATGAAATACTAGGTGCATTTCAACTGATTGGCTATGAATAATGACAGCTAAAAAGAAGTGTAGTTTAATTTGTTGTGTGCCAAGGTTTCTCTTGTGGAGGTGACAGTTTGTGACAGCTGTTTGACACCCCCAAAATCCATACACCTCTATTCTTATTAAGTGGTATCAAGCTACATAGTATGTATGTGTTTTATATGTATGTGGGGGGTGGTGACAGCAGTGGCGGTGGTAGCAGTATATTAGGTACTAACATAGGTCTCAATATTATTCCTGTTGACTTCAAGGTTTTAATATAGAGCTAAAGGAAAGTAACTGAAAGAAATATAGGATTAGCCAATATTTATAGTATGACTTCTGAACATGGGATATTCAAATACTGCATATTTCTTTTCTAGACTCCTTCTGCTGTTATACTTGCATAACTTAATTTTGGGGAGGGGAGTTGAAAAGTATTGTTTTCTGCAAAAAAAAATACCTATGCTGGAAAAGCAGGGAGCCTTATGCAGTTGTGCCAGATCTGTTAAGTGATAAACACATATATTGAATTTTATTTTAGTGCACTATTAACTATTATGTAATACAGTCAGTGTAAGAGGGCCAAGGACTTCGTAAATCAAATTGTGTATTGCCAGCTACTGAGAAGCTGCAACTTTTGTTATTACTCTGCTATGTTTAGTAAATATAACAGCCCATAATTAGCATTTGAATTTTTAACACCCTCATATTTTTTTATTGCTCTGAGGTATTAGCTATAGATGGGAAGAAGGTAATTACAGCCATGCCCTGGCTGCACCAGATTAGTTTTAAAAAAAACAAACCCAAAAAACCCCTTCAGTCCCAGCTGCAGTTCAAGTTGCATTTCCCAGCACCAGCAGCGAAAATTTATCATTGTTCAGTATAAACATGTAGGGCCCAATCCTGAATTCCAGACACAGCCTAAACTCCCATTACCATTTTTTTAACATCTCCGTTTGGCAACTCTATTGCTCATGCTCTTTGGAGATCTATAAACTTTTCAAACATTCTATAACATTTCTTTCCTTTACTTTATTTACATTTTCTTTTGTGTGTAGCTTTCACTAAGGCCATACAGTTCTTCCCTGAGCCCAAATTTGATTGAGTGCCTAAGGCTGCTCTCATTGAAGTTGAGACCCCACCTCCAATAGACTTCACTGGGGAGTAGGATCAGGGCCTCAGTCTATTTTACATTTGTTTACATGCTGTAGTTACTTTACAATTGAGAGGCACTAATATACAGATCATCATATGTAAAACATAAAGGTGGAAAAATACATGTGTCTACATTTTACAATGGAATTATTGACAGATTAGAAATTTGTTGCTTTAGCTGTAGAAGAGAAATGTTAGTCTGAATGTTAAAATCTTCCAATTGTCAGATGAGATGGTAATAGCTAGTTTACGTTGTCCTTTTGAACAGTACCATGTCTTTTTTTTCTAATATTCCTGTTAAAAGGTTTGTTCTAAGTAAATTAGCAATACCTGGCAAATCAGAAAATCCAAAAATGGGGTCACAAGCAGCTGTCTCAGGTTATAAAACCTAGCCTGGTAGTGAGATTTCAGTGATAATAAGTAGTAATCATGTTATTAATGGCCTGATGCTGTATTTTCTGTGCACCCCAAACTCCCATGGATTTCAGTGAAGGAAAGGAATGCAGGTTTGCACCCTAAATGTGTAGTTATGTATTGTAAATGTCAAAAAGAGAACTATGTATCTACAACAATAATAAGGCGAATATTTTTTCTTACCAAATTACGTACTGGATGGACTTGGAACGTTTCTGTAGGTCTTGTGTATTCTGCAGCCATGTGTCATCAAGGGGATTCTAATACACTAGGGAACGGTGTATGTTTCTAGTTTTTCCTTTATGGTGCCTTTTCTGATGATTTCATTACAAATAAAAATTGACTATTAATTACTTTTAATTCAGTTTCTGACTTCTGAGATGACAGTGTACTTTACTATCCCTCTGATGTTAGTGTTTCCTGTTAGGTTAGATGTTGCATATCTGATTCCAACTTAAGTTAGAAAGTTACATTTTCTATTAATTTATTTACTATTTTTGTTTAGCTTGCAGTGGTGTTGGATATTGCCTGTTTTCTTTTATAATGACATAAACTTTACACTGTTGCATGAAAATAATAATCTTGAATGTTTAAGACTAATAGTATCACTCCAGAAGAAGTGTTGCCATGTAGAATTAAATAGAAAGAACACTTACAAAAATCCTGATTTTTCAGGTCTTGCTTCTGTAGTGACAGGTGACTTACGTGCTTGAATCAAAGTTTAATTGAAAAATACAGTTGAAAAAGGTGACCACAGCCCTTTTAAGAACAGTGCCAGAGTTCAGGAGTAAAAATTTC